TTTTTAATGAAAACGGTTTTTTACTTATTGTTTTACAAAGATGTTCATGCATTTTTTAAATATACAAAAATATTTATTAAAAATGTTTTTTTCGCTGATAAGTACCAAAAAGCAAACTTTGGTCAATAAAAAAATGGTGGATGCGCCGGGCAAAAACCCTCTATTTAAAATCGTACGAAACGCTGAATCAAAAACAATTTTTCAGACAAAAACCCAATATTGTGTTGTTCCCTGAAAGGAAATAAAAGAGTTTTGGTATCACACCGCGTCTTGATCAAATATTTTGTTAATGAGATTAAGTCGGATTCAGACGGCTTTAATAAAACCCGCCGAACGTGTGATCCGCCCCAAAGTAATTTATCACGAATAAAATACGAGCTTCAAGCCCTAAACACAATTATGAGTCGATGTAGCGAAAATAACACGTATCGAATCGTCGGCTTTGATTTTACCCAATACCTGAAAATTTCAATAAATCGAAAATGCGAGAAATTTTCACGTGGAAAATTTTGCCCAGTTTGCGCAAAACACATCATAAATCACTTAGGGCGAAAAGCGTGATTTCACGGCCGCCACCTCGCTCGTGGGGAATTCCCCGGGATTCATAAATTAAGCTGTGGCATTTACGATACCAGATAACTTGTTACTAATACGGATAAGCATTCCCTGAAGACGTTACCGCGCCAACTAAACAGTTATTACGGCAATCTCTTCAGAGATAACACTGCTGCCAACCTCAATTGTTTCTTGCAAGCTCACAAACGTGTTAGAAACATTTTTTCCAAGTTGCTGGTATCTTATCATTCTTGAAATTTTTCTCTGGGGCGCGAGTTCTGGCGCATCCCAGTATTTTTAAATTTCCACAAAAAGCTTATGATATTAACTTAACAAAGATATAATTATCTGATCAACTTTTGAAAACAACTTTAAAAGTTATTTTACATAACTGTTTTGTTTAATTTATAAGAAAAATAAACAATAAATATATTTTTGGTTTGCTTAATACAATAAAAGAAATAAGAGCATAAATATTTATTTTACGGCGGGTTGAAATCTGATAAAGCCATCAGAAAATAAAAGAAGTTATCTAATCGGATATTTATAATAAAAAGATGCTATTTATGTTTTATGAATGAAAAGTTTTTCTGCTAATTTTTTTATAAATGAAATTATAATCTTGTGGCTGTGGGATAAAAGAAAATTGTATGTACCAAAATTGTTTCTTTTTTGTCCCTTTCGCTACTTTAAAAATTTCTGGAGAGGTAATTGTATTCGACACTACCAACTGCACTAGTTAAATTAATAAACACTTTTAAAAATCTCAACACAAATTCCGATACTGATGCGTAATGTTTGTTTATAAGAACGTTGTTATGACTTACTTGCAAAGCGTCCTGATTAATTGGTTCATTTACTTGCTCATTAAGTGACGCTTTACTTTAAATTAGTATATGTTATTTGGAGTAAAGGTGAGTTTATGTGGTAAATAGCACAATATACTATTTCATAAAGGTAATCTCAGCTAATATCTTCTCGGTTAGTGTCTTTATAATAATAAACAACGAGATTTTATGTTGTAAATTTAAATGAATGGAAACTGCAAAAAAGAACAGAAAAAATCTTTCAGTATTAAAATACAAAAATTTATGTGTTTTTTATTACCATTTCAGCAAGAAATAACAAATTAACTTTTATAATCTCATCATCTGTTTTTTGCAGCACTAAATTTTGAAAAGTTTATTGTGAAATTTCTCTAAGAAATTTTTCAAAGATTTTTTACAACTTTAGAAATTTTTTATGTCGGTATTTCTGACCCTTTCTTAGTCTTTTCTACTGTCTCTTACAGGACGATGTTACTTTTAAATTTGAGCATTTCTTTAAGATACTATGAGTATTGTTTGCTACCATTTTAGAAAAAATCGACAACAAATTAATTATTTTTATTTTTTTTAATTTCTTCAAAAAGATTATGATATTAACTTATCAAGGAAACAATTATCTGATCCACTTTTGTAAACAATTTTTATTTTTTAAGGAAAAGCTGAAAGGATTTCTTTTAATAACAAGTAAATGTCAAATGACAAATTATCTTACAAAATTTTAAAAGTTCTTTCACATAACTGTTTTGTTTAATTTAGAAGAAAAATAAACAATAAACATATTTTTGGTTTGCTTAATACAATAAAAGAAATAAGAGCATAAATATTTATCTTACAGTGGGTTGAAATCTGATAAAGCCATCAGAAAATAAAAAAAGTTATCTAATCGGATATTTATAATAAAAAAATGCTATTTATGTTTTATGAATGAAAAGTTTTTCTGCTAATTTTTTTATAAATGAAATTATAATTTTGTGGCTGTGGGATAAATGAAAATTATGGTGAAAGTACTACAATTTTTTAAAATATTTTAATTACTGGAAAAAACAGTTACCTACATTTTGAATTAAAATAATTGTAAGAACAGAAGTTGCGAAAGTTTAGGAAACATCGAAGTTTAACAAGTTGTATTTTCTTACGTTTTTATTGGCTTCTGTCCAATAGTTGTCTAGATTGCAGGGATATATTAAAAAAAAGCAATTTAACTATAAGTAAATTATATTGTTAAACTCGTCTTTAAAACTATTGTTTGTAATTTATCAGTTATTTGACAAACACTTCATCATAATACTAAAAACTTTATTAAAAATAATAAAAATACTGTTTTATTAAATTTTTTCTGGGCAGATCCTCTTATGTTAAATTTGAGTGACAGAAAACCCGAAATGAAAAGTTAATTGACATATTAATGGATTATTTTATGGTAAAAACGTTTCTAGTAAAATTGAATTATTAAACTTGTATTGAATCCAAATTAAACTAAATTGCCAGACTGCGCTAACAAGGATTAAATTAAACATTATTTGCAGGTTTATCATAGTTGTTATCACAGTCAGAGTAGAGTAAATTAAAATATGTAGTTTTTTAACAAAATTTTTGCACTTCAGTTTTCATTAAAGCAACATAAAAGCACTGCAATAAAACGCTAACGTAATAACGTAATGTTATTATGAAACTGTGCGAAAAATTGTATTATCACCATTTACTGATAATTTTGGTTTACGTCACAATTTTCAGCAAAACCTAACTCAATTAAAAATAACAAACCACAATAAATTAATAACATACATTTTTACTTTCCTTATCCTATAAGGAAAGTATTGTATTTGTTCTTGAGAACGATAAGAGCTAGAAACTTGAAATTTGGTATATAAATTACGTGTAGAAAGGGGACGCAGCACGAAACATTTGGTAAAAATCGGTCGCAAAGACCAAGAAATAAATTCATGTGGATAAAAATTATTTAGAATCATGAAATATACCTTATTAAACAGTGAAATGTTATAAAATAAAAATATTAATAGGTACCGAACTAAAAAAAGATGTTTTTCAAATAAGTTGGATAAGGAAAGTCGTGTGATGTTCACACCAGTTTTTTCTTTATTACTAGTAATTCTCAGTAAAAAATTTAATAAGTTGAACGTTGGATAAATTTAATTTAACATCAATTTCCTCGGCGTATCCTCCTGCCAATATTTGCTTTCTTTTTAAATTTAAATTGAAGGGTTTCAAGAAAACACTAAAGTGCCATTTAATCAAGAAAATTAGATTAGATATATTGACTAAATTATTATCGAAATTAATAAAGTTTCGCGAAATTGAAAAACAAACTCAATTTGAATAGAAATGGTTTAGCAAACATGAATAGTGAACAACTGGACCATTGTGGATCAGGATTTCTGGTAAAGTTAGTGGATCACGAAATTGGATTTCATTGTTATTTGACGCAACAACACTAAAACCAAGCAAATGTATGAAGTGACGGTAATAATTTTCCAACTATTGGAGGAAAAAAACAGTTAAATTGAAATGTTTTACGCAAATGGGATCCGCTTATTGGAAAAGTTATTGCATAAATCACAGCGAATTGTAATTTTATGAAAATGAAGTAGTAATATTTTCAAAGTTGCAATAATGATTTGAAATTTATTATCCCCTGAATCTGTTTAACTAGATAATTATCATAAGTGGTAGCAAGAGTTTGAGTTACATTTGTTTTACTTTCACCAGTTCCCGTTTTACGCAACTTTCAACAAACTAGTGTGGGTGGCGTGTATTTTCCCTTTCATTCGTGTAAAATTTCACTGGAAACTGATTTTTTAAATTTTCCAAATAAATTGGGGCTGTTTTAACTACATAAAAAGCTGATTCATTGATGATAAAACACGATTTATGCAGTTTCAGTGAGTCATTTCTTCAAGACATTTTCAGCATGAAAATTAATCTCCAAAGGCTATTTTTAGCACAACGGTAATAAATTTATCACATTTTCAATAAAAACCATGATCTAAGGTTGTAATGAAGAAATCAATAGTTATTTATAATCTTCGATGGTAAAAAAAATCTCAGAACTTGCAATTTTACCATTTTGAAATCATTTTTTTTTATAACAATATCAGTATTGAAGTTTTAATACCTTCACATAAGGGCTATTTCTGGGTATTAACGGATTCAGTGCAATATCTAAAATTGTTCAAATAATGAACGTAAACTAAATACGAGTATTTAATGATTTCTGGGAAAGTTATGAGCGTGGGTATAAAATAAATTGATTTTTTAATAAATATTTCATGACGCTTAAACACATAACTATCCAATTTTATTAAATTCTTCTTTTTCTTTATCATTTAATTATTGATTATTTCTTCAGGTTGCATTGAAATAAAAGTATTATAATGAGCTTAAAATTGTTTGTCTGAAACTTGAAACAAAGACTCCTTAACAAGAATAAATGAAGCTAATAGCTGTTGAATTGACTATTTTAGAAATTATAGAACAAAGTCGAGTAACGAGATTTCAATTTTTACATTTCATGTTCTCAATTATTGACGACAATGACAATTTTTGATTAATTAATAATAGTTTGGAGCATTTTCCATTTATATTCCATGCTTGTTTCAGGCTGTGATTTTCGATGAAATCGAACTCACCGACCTGTGCCTAGCCGAGTGTTCAACCAAAAACGTCAATCACAGTTTTCAGGTGAGTGTTTTTCAGAAAAACGGATTTGTATGGTAGCAAAAACCAAAAAATCACACGACTTTTCGAAGTTTCTAGCTCTTATCGTTCTCGAGAACAAATACAATACTTTTCTTATAGGATAAGGAAAGTAAAAATGTATTTTATTAATTAATTATAGTTTGTTATTTTTAATTGAATTAGGTTTGCTGAAAATTGTGACGTAAACTAAAATTAAGAGTAAGTGGTGATAATACAATTTTTCGCACAGTTTCATAATAACATTACATTATTACGTTAGAGTTTTATTGCAGTGCTTTTATGTTGCTTTAATGAAAAGTGAAGTGCAAAAATTTTGTTAAAAAACTGCATATTTTAATTTACTCTACTCTGACTGTGATAACAACTATGATAAACCTGCAAATAATGTTCAATTTAATTCTTGTTAGCGCATTCTGGCAATTTAGTTTAATTAGGATTCAATACAAGTTTAATAATTCAATTTTGTTAAAAACGCTTTTACCATAAAATAGTCCATTAATATGTCAATTAACTTTTCATTTCGGGTTTTCTGTCACTCAAATTCAATCAACTAGCAAATTTCAGTTTTATGAATTTAATATAAAAGGATCTGCCCACAAAAATTTAATAAAACTGTATTTTTATTATTTTTAATAAAGTTTTTAGTATTATGATGAAGTGTTTGTCAAATAACTGATAAATTACAAACAATAGTTTTAAAGACGAGC